AATCAGTGGGACGCGAGGTCGAAACACTGGCTCACCAAACATGCTCCCCCTTTCAGCCGTGGGGGCGTTATAATGTGACGGTCAATCCCACTATTCGTTGGTAAAAGAGTAGCCCAAGAGTTGGCGGTGGGTGGTGATGACTAGCTGCCTTCCCTCTAGTCTTACACTGCTAAATTAGAGACGGCTAGCGCAGATAGCCCTCTTGTAGCTTTGCGCGAAATCCAAAACAAACAAACACACTTTGCACATCGAAAGTTTGAAGGATCGAGAATTTTAACTTGTCGTAACCTAATGTCATTATATGCAAGACATTCTTTGCAAATACGAATTATGTACATCATACAGAAATATTCCAAGACTTGCAGTATTCCATTCCTTATTCCTTTTGGCAATGTAAAGATGCAACAATGTTTATTAATATTTGTTATAGCGTGTTCAAGGAGGCGTTGACATCACATTTAAATTCCAAGTGGTGGTTTTTGATGTGATGAATAACCATCCTTTTACATCATGTGCATCAACATCTTTATTTCATTAATAAGGTTGCAATGAAAGATTATTTGCTTTAGTGCCAATAAACATATATATATCTACGATTTTTAAGTTGTAAATGACAGTTATTGAAATTGATACGTATATCTTTTAGTGATAATAGTAATATTATTCCCGAATGCAACATCCGTAACATAAAGGCTTAATTGCTACAACATCATTAGTCAGTGGTTAAAGCAGATGTCGGTTCACAAAAATATTATTTTTTAAATATTTGATTATTATAAAATATAACGAGACCATTTCGTTCATTAGATGCTACAAAAATGTTATGAAACTGCGCGCGCATACACACACACACACATAGAAAAGAAATACATTTAATAACCTTATAACTAGTGTGTTTTAAATTGAATATCATGAAAGGCCTTTATGAAAACAAAACTGTTTTTGCTGAAGATAATAGAGGTTATGAAACTAATCTTTTAAGCTGCAGCGGAATAATCAAGACCAGCAAAGGCAAGTAATATGCTTTTATTGATTATAGAGTTTATGAAACTAATCTTTAAGGCTGCAGCGGAATAATCAAGACCAGCAATGGAAAGTAACATGCTTTTTTTATTACTGGAGTTTTAGCAATATATTAGAAGATTATACTGCAATTTTAGATTACTGAGTTCATGTGTTTAGAACTTGCTGGAATATTGATAAGAAAGGGTGTCTCCCTTTGAATGCAGTATCATGATAAGCAAAATAATGATATTGTTCATATCCTTGAAACAAACTATTATCAGAGGTCATTGTTGGCCAGTCTTTAAATTTTGTTAACATTTAATAAACATTGGTTTGAGATGAAAGGTCAAGTAATTTCTTAAATATTGATAAAACTACTTATGATCTTGAACGAGACGCTAGTGCTAAGTTAAAAAGTCACTGAAACTTTAACCAAAATTTAAACGTGGCCAATCCATCATCATTAAGATTTAGAATAAGTCCTAAAATGATCCGAAAGAGTATTATAATTTTATGTAAGATTAGTAATTGCCGAAGAAAGAAAAGCACGTAATTTATGAAAAATAATATATTATGTGAAATATTTTTTTATACAGCAGTCCGAAGCTTTGACCATTGCCATTACGAACCTATTGTAAAAATTACTTGAGTTAATTAATAACATTCTGATGTAAAGGTAACTAAATAAATTTAGTCTTAGCAGCCTTACATAAATGCGAAAAAGATATTTCCGTAGAAGTATCGTTATATAAAAAATTTGATAAATACAGTCACAGTGATCAGTTTTTAAAAAACAACAACAAATATTTGATCACATAAAACCTTCAAAGTTTTCCTTTTGTTACTGGCTTAAAAAAAATATATTTTTATGAAAAACTAGATGGCGCCACACAAAAAGTAGTTGAATACACGTTAAAAATTGCTATAAATGCCTCGCTATTGTTTTTCACTATCTATATATTTATCTCAGCCTAGATAAGCAATTGTATATGATATTATTATTAGAAAAATATTCAAATGTTACGGAATTATAATAATCCAATGTAATAGTTTGATGATTAGTGTTGATATATTAGTATTAACTGTGGAAGTGTAGTGTTATTAATCCTAGACATTTTTCAATTACTATCTTATTTTTATTAATCATTAAAAATTGAATCAAAATAGTGTTTATGTTTCATTAATACTTTGTACTGCAAAAATAATCTTCATAAAACCTGTTTTACGACATCGTGATCGAAATATTGTTTACTAATGAGCAGTTAGAAGAAATTTATATTTTAAATAGTTCATAATTTCGCTTACGAAACTGAAGTCCACAAGTTTGGTACTCAATTAATACTTAAAATATTCTAGATTGAGGATTATTTTAAGTATTATTACGCATTTATACGTTTCGCTTTTAAATAATAACAGTTTTAAGTATTTTTTCAGTTATTTTCTATTGCATTTATCATAAGTATAAAAGAACTCATAATATATGTAGTAACAAGAAAAGCAGATCTTTGCCATGATCTTACAATCAATAGATAACGTAACAACTCATTCCAATTGTAACCTTCTTATTTTTCTCTTTAACGTCAGTCTTAAAATACTCAATTAACTGAAACAGTTTGACAAAATAAACGTTAAGCAAAGGAGATAATCAGAAGGACGTATATTTTACTAGTTCAATTATAACGTCTTCATTTATTTAACAACGGAAATAAAACAGGACCAAACACTTATGTGTGACTTGAACAACGCTATGGTGTTGTTGTAGCACAACTTCTAAGAGATTCTAAGATATATTTTCAATGGTACAGTGAAATCTCATTTTCGTGCTTATTGCAGGAATGACTAATGGTACCAGGGGATATGCAATTAGAACCTAGAGGCCGCAGAAGAGTATATTCCTCTCCTTGACGCTAATATTTACGCCATGAATAGAATCCAATATTATCAAGTACCCACATCGATCCCACTTTTCATCCCAAAGTTAGTACTCCTTTTTAAGTCCTAATCATTACCATGAAGGCCAATGTACTTTGTTATGTGATTGATACTTTACCCTAATTTAGTTAAGTCGAAATTGTCAATGCTTGACTAAGAAGGGATTTTCTGTTTGGTCAAAACTTATTTCTCACAGTGTGAGTGACTACCGTAAAACAGGATGATTGATGACCAAATCAAATTCATCTAACATTACTATTAATTCTAAATGAACTATTAATTTGATTACCGCGGTATTTTTATGATATTAGCTTCAGTGTCTAACAGCACCTACACAGTTTACTTTTGTATCATACTGCTATCTATATTATACGTTTACATGTACCTATTTATCCCCCTTTTTCGAAATTTTTTGTATGTGATAAATATTTTCCGCTCATTATTGTAAAATATATTAGATGATTTATGCTCATTTTATAAACTTTTGCAGCTTTTCAAATATATTTCGTTCGTCGCTATATCCACCCGGTTTTGGAGAAAAAAGGGACTGCAGGTAATTCTTAACGTTCTTCCCTAATCACACTAAAGTGGTGTTATTAGGGAGACAATAAAGTGGTGTTATTAGGGAGACAATAAATGTTTAAACAATCCTAGATCCTTTGAAGTTTCTATGAGACCCAGTTGGGCTACATTATTAAGTTGAAATTGGGCCACCGATTATGTTTCTCCTCTACACCAACCTTGAGGTCATTTGGTAAACTCCATTCCAAATCGCCCCGTGTTAAGGTGTAAGTCTAATGACATTGTTACAGTCTGATTTTTGAGAAAATCATCATATAAGATATATGTAGATATATACTTCTCGTGTTTTACAATAAATAACTTCCGAAACATCGCACTGGTTGAAAATTGTAACTGATGCTATTAATGGTTGAAATTGTTTATGAATTCATGTAAAAACGCAAACACGATTTACGTCGAATAACGCCCCTCATATCCAATGTCTGAAAACTTTTCCCAGTCCAATGATTATCTATACGTACAGACTGACTTATACATTCTTCGACGATCATTCTTAGAAAATGGCGTTCACTTACATAAGGAGTCTTATCTTTCTTCAAACTTTTAAATCTGCCATTAGCAACCAGAATATACGTTTTGAAATAAGGGTTATTCCTCAGAAAGCTACCGAAGTTATATATATATATATATTAAATGTTCTAGTGAACGTCTGACAAATATATGTTTCTGCCCACTACTAACTACAAAACTTACCCTTAGCTTATAATATGGAATTTAACAGTAAACAATTGTATTACAATTTCATTGTGGAAAAATATGATAGGAGATTTATATATATAGCCATTGTGAACCATAACCGGTAAGTATGCTCAAAAAAGACCCGATTATCAGAGAAAACAGGATTTTTCCCTATAAGCAATCGAATGACGTCCAGTATCGTGAAAGTTAATTTTGGCAAAAACACATTTTATACTTTGTTTTCCGTTTTTTGGTGTATGATATATGAAATACTGTTTTTCTTCTTTAGATATAATTATCATCAAATAAACCGGAAAGAAAGTAACTTACTCTCTTCTGGCGGATCTCCATCAGCTTGTACATTGTAGCAGTGGAAGGAAATTACACAGCTTGTAACAATGACCACACATACTAGTTCAAATAGTTGTACTCCAGCCATCAATATCATTTATTAATTTAAACAAACTGGTTTCTGAATAAAAAAACAAATCCTGACTATGACACAGATAAACTCATTCTCGCATAACCATTGTATCAGTTTATGCAGCGAAAATCAATGAAATCTTGATGATTTTAAAATTCAACTTAATTGTTACAGTAGCAAAAACTCGCTACCAGTTAGCGCGTTCTTCCCTGTATTTGGTTCTCATTCAAACGTCGATCTGAGACCAGCAGAGAGAAGGGTAAGGAAGCTATTCGGAAAATGATCAATATCAAGACAGACCTGCAGCGTCACCTGGTTTTGAAATGGACTGACTATATTCTTTATATATCCGGGTAGTTGACAAGCTGCGTGAGAAGAAAACGACTGATTTCCTGACAGTATTAGACACATAACAAATCTCAGCTTGTATTATTTTCACGAGCCTATCAAACTGCCTGCTCTTATAGTGTCGCCTTCAAATAAACTTCGACTGAACAGTCACTGCGAGTACTGAACAAATAACTTGAGCCTTTCCTAAGAGTGTGTGTGTATCTAACTGTAGCTGTTGAAACCAACAAAATTTGGGTGTTTAAATTTACAACTTTGTTCACAAATATTATACACAGTGTAAATACACGCTGAACATAGTTGCCTATTGTACAATTTTAGTTTTAAATTTTGGTGAATTACAAATATATTCGTATATTTTTATAATATATTGATTTTAATCAAAACATAAGAAAGTCAATCTTAACTGTAATTTGAAGAATGGTTAAGGAATAGTACTCAAAATCAAAATATTAGATGGTTAATACGGGTTTGTTTATTACAGGAATTCTCAACTTTTCCCTCCATCATTAACCCCCTCGGCTTGATGTATTTCTCCATTTACCCCCTTACTTCCATACAAAAAATTCATAGCCATCATAAAGGGACAGAAAAACAAGAAGGTCAGAAAAAAAAATATTATTCAGGTTTTGCACAAAAATAGCACACACACACACATTCTTAGCATTCTCTCTCTTTCTCTCTCACACACACACACATACACACACAATTTACAAAATGAAATTTAATTGAATTATTATTCAATCATCAGGTATGCCAATTATTTACCCCCTGCTATGTGAATTTTTACCCCCAAGGGGTAAATTTACCCCTGGTTGAGAATCACTGGTTTATTACTTCCACCACCGAATGTGACGGAGGTTATGTTTTCACCCCTGTATTTGTGTTTGTCAACAAGATTTCTCGAAAACTGCTGATTGGATTTGGACAAAGCTGGTTTACATTTGAAATATGAACAACCTAGAAGTGATTAGTTTTTGGAGGGTTAAAATCAAAGCCAAGGTTAAATATATATATATAATTCCTATCTGTTAACATGGGGACCGATTTTACAAACTATTTTTGCTATATAACTCAGTCAAAAATGATCAGATTTTGATGAAACTTGGTGCACATTTGTAGAATGCTATTCCTCATTGTTCTGCAAACATGGTTCCTATTTTTTTAAGGGCCGAATATGATCAACGCTGCGCGGTGGAATATGCGTTCTATTGAGTGCTTCTCTAGTTTGTTGATGCAATAACTAGCATACATAACCGACAGAGTCAGGAAAGATCAGCTTCAGGTAAATGAGTCATACTCTGACAAGGTTGTCTTTGCAGCTAAATTGTAAATTTTAAAGCTCAAATGTTTTTGATTGGGTACTTTTATATGGTACTTTCCAAAGTAAGTTTATATAATGAAACAATATCTGTGCAATTATTTGATAGTACGGACATCCAGAAATCGCTGATAAACGTGAATGGCTGTCTGACAATGGACATTGGGGATTTAAACACCCGAGTTTCATCCATTTACCGAATTTATGGTGTTCATCTATTGGCTCTTCACTCACTTATGGTGTTCGTCTATTGGCTCTTTACTCACTTATAGTGTACGTCTGTTGGCTCTTCATTCGTTCACTCACTTATGGTGTTCGTCTATTGGCTCTTCACTCACTTATGGTGTGCGTCTATTGGCTCTTCACACACTTATGGTGTGCGTCTATTGGCTCTTCACTCACTTACAGTGTACGTCTGTTGGCTCTTCATTCGTTCACTCACTTATGGTGTTCGTCTATTGGCTCTTCACCCACTTATGGTGTGCGTCTATTGGCTCTTCACACACTTATGGTGTACGTCTATTGGCCCTTCATTCGTCTTTGGTAGATAAGAAAAGCAGGTTACTCTCAATACCTTATCAGTGGAATATTTCAAGTTGTCTATATATTCGAGTCTATATCTTGTGCAGTTTTCTGATTATGATTATCTTAGTACTCTTTACCCGTGAATTTGCGTACATAACAATGGACACAAATATGAAAACGTTTACCAAACATAATTTATTACAGCAGAAAGATCCGTTTCATATAAACATAGACGTTAATTAGGTATACCAATCTACAATAGGCTGAACCATGAGGACAACATACAAATATATACCTTTTTACAGATTGATATTTGGGGGTATAAGCCCTTTCCTCTCTTTAGGCCAAAACACTTTCATGGAGTTTAGTGATGAAAGTACATGGAATGATCCATCAAATACACAAGTCCAGGGTTTGCTTTTTGACCTCCATTTTATCCAGGTTCAGATTTGAATTCTAAAACTTTGATCATGCCAATGCAGATGGTTAGTGTTGCAACTGCCAATTTTCTCTCCTGGTAGGGTTTTACCACATTGGCCACAATATTAGCATCAATATGCTGTTGGAATACAAACCCCTGACCAATTAGATACGATCCTAATGAAATGCCGTAGTACATTAGGATCTGCCTGTAGTTCTTTTCTTTCCGTGTATTATTTTATCAGTGTTTACTGTCTCACAGCACTGATTAATACATGCAGTTTAGCTTCAATCTGTTATATGGAAAAATACTCATCATCCCAAATAAATAATAGCTGTTGCATGTTTGCACGAAGTGTTTTCTTCTCTGAAACCATGCCATCTTCAAGAAACATGGCGTTAAAATGGTAGTAGTGATGATTATATTTCTATAGTCGGTAAGATGTTATTATTGTTTGTATGGCAAAGAATCAGAGAGTACCACATCAATATAATTTCTCTACTTTATGGTCACTAACGGTATTGTTGTCCATATATGTGCCATATATGGTTTGTGCATTTTTCTCTGTGTAGTTTCCATAATATCAGATTTCTATTGGTAACTATCATGCCCAAAACCGTCTATAGGTAGTGAGTGGTAGTGGGATCTTAGACGTTGTGGGTTCTAACACCCAGATCCTAACCCTTACTGGGTCAGTAGCTTTGTTTCCTAGTTATACCTGCGGACTTACAATGCTAGAAACCGGGCTTCGATACTAGTGGTGGACAGAGCACAGATGGCCCATTGTGTAACTTTGTGGTAAATTACAAACAAACACAAATGTTTACTTTAAAATGATACCATTTTTACTTTTGTATAAGTGATATAATTTTACATTGTTTTGTTACACTTTTGTTGACACAATCGCGTAATAAAAGTGTTGTATTTTTAGATAATTATCTCGTCAGAGTTGTACAGAGCAGAGTAATTTCCTCTGTGCCTTTGATGTAATAAAGACAATATATACAATCTATAGGGTGTTATAGAGTCTTTGTGTAAGGTTAAGTATTTTATACACATGTATAAACGACCATTCTTCTGATTCCTGGAAATGATACTAGGGATGCGCCACATAACAGTTGTTCAATGTGGCCACCATCATTTTCGATTTCTACGCCCATCCTCATAATGGTATTGAAAATTGGAGAAAAAGACGTATTCTCGTGAATTGTCCAAACCTTTTTCGCGATGAAATTCCGCAGCTGATAACTGGATTATGGAAATGTATCTGCATCTCCAGAAAGCCCCCCACAGAGGAAAGGTCAGGGGAGTGTGGTAACCACGCTTGATGGATGTGGTTGTTGAGAACTTTCCAACCAATACACTGACAGAAACAGCTGTTGTATGACGCCTACGCCCTATTTTTGTTTTACAACAATATTTCTGGACTGACTCGTTATTGCAGCCATTTTGATGTTCCTTCTACCGCAAACGACATAATAATGATTACCTTTTCTCTTCTGCGCTTATTATAATGGCCCAATTTATATGTATAGCGTCCCTAGTGCAGATTTTAGGAATCTGTAAAATTCAAACACATAAATTATTATGCACGTATGCAAAATATTTCGCGTGTACGTTATCCTGGTCACTTTAGAGACTGCTTCTTCCACAGAATACTAAAGCATTATTATAACTAAGTAATTAGGTAACATACAGTATATATACACACTTATATACACACTTATATACAC